AGAATGTCATATATAAATAAATATTTATTTAAAAATAAAATTTTTAAATAAATTTGTTTAAATTAATAAAAAAAAAATTGTACTATTTTCAAAAGTTACAGTATACATATACATATAGGTTATGTATAATTCTCTTATCGACATTACTTCAAGAAGAAATGTTTTATGTCATTTTAAAGCGTTAATATGTGTAAAATGTTTCATAATAACAATTAGAGGTCGAATAAACAGTAAGTTTCAGAAAAATACTGTTTAGTATTTACATAAATGATTGAAACAAAAGAAAAGTGAATGAGAATTAAAACTAGGTAAAAGAAGTACAGTTCGAAAAAACATGTGGAATGAGTGAGACAAAGAAAAGACGATGCGCATCTTGTTGAGCAACCTTGAAAAAGCTAACGACAAATAAATAATGAGTGTCAATAAAGGAAATGTGATACAAGTGTATTCTAAATGTCCATTCTCAATATTAACACAATTTTTATATATACCCATGTGTGCAAATAATGTGTAATTAGTATGTAATATTTAGAGTATGTACACTTTCATTAATTTACAAAATATAAAGTTTCATTAATCATACTTTTAACAAATTTGTGAAAGAATAATACAATATTACTATTGAGAAGAACACTAGTAATGACAAACTATTGCCACACTAAGTTTGCGTATTCTTATCGTAAACTGTACGGCTAAACAACAAAGTTTTATTGATAAACACTTCATGGAACATGGTTTATTGTGTTTATGTGTTCAGACAGAACAGTTCCATGTATTACGTCCGTGAGGAGACTACATTTAGGTTTTTATCACGACGCAACGCCTGCAGTGTTGCTAATCACAAAATTTATACTACATCATTTTCAAACTATTGGAAACTAAGAAAATGGTTTGAAAACTCTATTCTGAAGAATCAAAATTGCTCTTGTTACTCGCGTCTTTGAATACTACATATTTACAAGTATGTAATTTTTACATGTACTACAAATTGTTTAAATGTTATAGATTATTATGCCACTTTTAGATAATTTAAATAATTTTATAATACCTACAGTTTTTAATTAGTACTTCTGTCAATGTGTATACACATGTATCATAACCTCGATTCCTCTCAAAGAGGTGTCATTTTTTATTTCTATAAAAATAGCGACATAATGTTGTAACGATCTCTTTAATATTTAATATTTATATAATTAATTAAACTTTTTATAAAAATAAAAAATTTCTGCAAAAATAGTGGTGCAGACGTTCAATCATATATGTAGATCACTGTAGGCATCCATGAAGTGACATTCCCTAGACCTGGGGCCTATTCACTATTCAACATTTCAACAAACTGAATAATTATGTAGCCTATGGAACACTGACCGCAGTAAAAATGATAACGAAAATATCGTAACGCATTGGAGCGGAAATACATTACACATAAGACAATAACTTAATTTAAAAAAATACATTTGATTTTAATATTCGAAATATTTTTACTAAAATAAGTAATCTAAATTATAAATTAAATTATTGTTGCAAAAAATGTCCATAGCATGCAGAGAATGATACTTAACAGTTACATTAAAATAATTTCTTGTTTCAGTTATTTTACCGTTTTTTACATACATAAAACAAAAATAACAAATTTATTTAGTAAGATATTTAATGTTTTACCTTATACTCGAGTATTTAACTATTTTTGGTATTGTCTATACCGCATTTTCATATAATATCCATTTTTAAATATACAGATTTATTTTACTAATGGCATCTGTCTGTTCAATTATTTCACGTTTTAATTGTATTTTGGATATTTAGTAATTATTCTATCCTAACCATTTGTAAATCCAACATTGTAAGTAAGTTCAAGTGAAATAAAATTTATAGTAGATGCAATAAATACACTACCATAAAAATTTGTTGTTTTACAGTATTGAAAAATGTTAAAAAAATAAAATTATTGTGTTTTGTCTACAGGATCTCAATATGGTAGTTACGGCACTGTTAGATAGACTGCATCGCAACGCTACGCTGGTGGTTAACGCGTTGTAACCGCCCACGCAACCACGTTTCATCTTAACAAACTAAAAAGTATCAAGGTAATGGTGTTGAGTGTTAGCTAATTAACGTGAAGAACTTCGCAAAATAATGCAAACATGTGGAAAATAGTTTTCTAGGTTCCCGTTATTCCAAATCATACGCGTGTCAATTGGTGAAAGAGTGGACTCGTCCAAGATGGCTGCACAGTGATCAGTAACACGCCATACAACGTGATTATAGATGAAATTTATAAAGAAATTTCATATACGATTCATTAATATTATTTTTGGATTTTCAAAACATTAAATCTGTATTGAGATACGTAGAATTTTAAAAAACTAGAACAAAATTCAATTACAGTCCCTTGGACTGTTCTCGCGCGTACTGCAAAACAATGGCGACATCCACTTGCACACGCATTTCACATCACATTACGCATCACTCTTCCCGCTGACTGTTAATTCACATCATATACTTTTATTATGTACAAAAAAACATGCAAAATGCACAAAATGTCGCATATTTTTTAATTAAAAAATCTATTATTACGACAATATTATAAATAATCACTTAATATCGTGGTTATTTATTAATGTCGTATATGAAAAAAGAAAAAGTTATAAAAAGGTCTTGTCATCAATTAATTTAAACTACTGTTTTTTCGAATTATTACAATACACGTCATATATTTTATAAAATATTTTAGAGACATAACATTGTTTTCAATCAAGCGATAATAGCATATGTATATTAAGCTATTACAAGTTTTTCATTGAAGAGAGAATAAGATTAAATATTATACGTGTATATGTATAATAAAGAAATGGAGTAAGTAAAAAATAATATTTCGTTTCGATTATTTGGTACATTCATTACGTTCTAGGCGTCATTTGACCTTGATAGATTGAGATTCTCGCAGCATCGAAAATCGCGGTCAAAGGACTATTAGACTCTGACATAATAATACTTTGTATGTAAGCAATCGTGACTTGTCAATAGGCACGTTTACGTATCAAAATTTGTTCAAAACACTACCTTCTTAAAATCTTTCTAGATTGCATTACAACATTCCAATGAAAACATTATTTCGATATAATGAAAACAATAAATACTTATAATTAAAAAATTATTCTTTTGTTTCTATGTATATAATTCATAAATAGAAATTTATAGAAACAGTTATACTATGCAACAATTTAATCATATTTACGTATAGTACGGTATACATATATTTGAAATCAGAAAATCTATTACTCCAACACTGTTCTCATTTCTTTTTAAAGCAAATATGTTGTGAATATAAAAAAAGCAATAATTTTTATGGAAAATTTCTATACAAATATTCTAGTTTCATTTATTTCATATAAAAATAAAGATTGGTATAATAAAAATTTCATCTTTATTTATTTAATATAAAAATAAACATTGTTATAAAAATTATAACAAAATTTATTTTAAGAATATACATATAAAACAATA